CCTGGTTTTGGTAGGGAAAGGCACATCCTAAAATAATAGCTAGCTTTTATTCAGAATTTCCCTTCCCAAGTCACGGTACCAAACACTTCACAGGAATTAACCCACTGAATTCTTAAACTACGAGTCTTTCATTTTGAAACTAACTTGTTTATCGTCAGTTTCCCTACACTAGGATATTAACTTCCCATAGTGGTCCTTACCCCTGAAAACCTGTGTCTAGCACAGCGTCTGGCAGGCAGGAGTCTTTAGTAATGGTTGTGGAATTAATGCATGAGGTGTACCTGCTTTGCAGATAAAGAATTTGAAGCACAAAAGATTGAGTAACTTGTCAAAGATCACTGCCTGTTTAGTAATGAAGCTGGATTCTAACCTGCAGGCTGGCTCCAGAACGTGAGTTCTTAAACATAATTACGGTGAAAGGACAACCCAAGACGTTCATTACCCTCCACAGCAGACCTACTTCGTGGGTAGAATCCCACGCTATAGACAGTCTCTGACGAGGCATGTGAAACGACTCCTACCTCCCCCCAAATTCTTTTAGTAATTTGGTAGAAAAATGTTAAATTGATTTTCTCTCAGAATAAGGGCTACTTTTCAGTTTGCAGTTTATAATTCATAACCCCGCTGTGAGGGCATGAATGCTGTCTTTGAAGCATACCGGCTGAGGTATCCTTCAGGTATCAGTCAACATTGTACAATGAAGATGATTTGAACCTCTGAACAGCCAATCTTTCTGATCAACTCTGCAATTGCCAGAGTAGCAAATGTGTCATATGTAAATGGTATCTGTGGCACTTTGTCCTCAAGGGGTTGTTCCAGTATGAAATATTAGTCATGGTAATAGCTCTTGGACAATCCCAGGAGGAATCAGGAAATAGAATATATGACATCAGTTTTGTCATGTCAACAGCCTGTACAAAACGAAACCAATTCCACTCCAAACTTGCTTCTGCTTAGTGATTGGCGTTAGGAGCCTCCCAGTCAGCCATACTTGGAATTTCAGAATCATCTTGAACACTTCCTTCTTTTCCTCATAAACCATTGTTCATTTTATCACCAAATTCTCTAATCCCCAAATTTGAGGTCTAATCCCAATACCTGGTCCATGGTAGTATTCATATAAATATAAACTGGAATTAATATATACTTCTGCCCTTTCAATACATTCTTCACCTTTTTAGCCAGCCATTGTCCTACTCAAAAATATTCAATGGTATCTCATTACTTGCTAAGTAGAGTCTCAAGTTCTTCAACTCTAGTCCCAACTCATGTTTCTTTCATTCTATTTCTATAGCCTCCCTGTCCTCAAACTCTTGCTTTGTTCTCTAATCACAAGTGTCTATTCTGTGTTCCCATCTTGGTATCTTTGGTCACTTTGTTCTCTTGACCTGGAACACCATTACCACTCATAACTGCTGGTCCCACCTCGGCCGGGATGCTAATTCCTCAGGACAGCATCTGTGGATACTTCTACTGGATTTAATTATTTTTTTTTTCTGTAGTTTCACAACACTTTGCTTTACTCTCTATAATGGGTCTCCTAAAATCTGCCTTATTTTGTAGTTTCTTCTCAGTTTTCTTCTGAACTTTTCTTCTCAGCTTTTCATTCCTTTTAGAATTATAAAGTTTTTGAGGGCTAGGACCATCATCAATCATTTCATTTTCTTTTGTTGTTTGTTACTTTCAGTTTCATTACACAGATGAATAACCATTTCAATCTTCACAGAAGAACTTTGCTGTAATACAGACCCTCAAAATATTTGTGAACTTAATTATGTTTAGAATGGTGAACATTTGACTTAAGAACTCAAAAATATTAATAAAACATGAGATGCTGAAATTTATAATTTGCTAGTAACTCCCCACTTCGTTATTCTAGTATATTGCTTCCTCGTTTATTTCTGTCTACTGATTTTGCCTTTTAATTCATGTTCTTCATGAATACATTTCACAATATTTTACAGTTTAGTCATAATGTTTTCCTGGGACAGTGCTGCCTTAGTGGCTGGCACTTCTAAAGATCCAGTGGTAATTTTAGACAAATTGAAATGCCACAGTAAAGCTTTGCTGTTGTATTGCCAGTCACAATATGCCCGTGTTTTCTTTTTCATAACCCCAGATAACTGAGAAGGACTGATAATTGTATATATTTTAGTGTCAAATATGGGATCCTTGATTTAGTGTCAAATTCAGTGTCAAATGTGGGATACTTGATAGAATTTGTTTAGGAAGCTACAAAATGAATAAATAAAGTCATAAAGACTTAAACAGTGCCCTTACTGCTTATATTCCCTTCAAACCTCGAAACGCCCAATTACAAATTCCCAGCACCTGGCCTCTCTCCACTACTCACAGCATCCCATATAATCTCCCCTCTCTTCCAGGAAATCTTTCCTCCCTTGCGTAGTTGAAGAGTGAATTTTTGTGTAGGTAGTAATGAATGGTTACATTTACTTTTAACTGGGATAATCTGGAGACAATTCAGAATTTTTTCTGGAGACAAACAAATGGTAATTCTAATGTAAGTCATGGTGGCAAGACAGTGAGAAAAATTCTGTAGACGCTAGGAACGGTGGTTCCTGCCGGTAATCCTAGCACTCTGGGAGGCCGAGGAGGGAGGATTGCTTGAGCTCAGGAGTTTGAGACCAGCTTGAGCAAGAGCGAAACCCCTTCTCTACTAAAAACAGAGAAACTTAGCCAGGTGTGGTGGCACGGGACTGTGGTCCCAACTACTTGAGAGGCTGAGGCAGGAGGACCACTTGAGCCCAGGAGTTTGAGGTTGCTGTGAGCTAGGCTGATGCCATGGCGCTCTAGCCCAGGTAACAGAGTAAGACTCCATCTCAAAAAAAAACCCCAAAAAATAAAAAAAGAGAAAAAGTCTGTAGAAACTTGAGCTAGTCAAGTTTAAAAAGCTTGTGTCTTTGGAGGATATCATTCAGGCCTCAGCTCGAATGTCACCTACCTAAGGGACTTCTAAGCCCACCAATTCTAAACTTCTTTCTTATACATCAAAGTGTTCTGTTTTCTTCATAACACTTACCACTATCTGAAATGATTTTATTTCTTATTTCACTTGATGGTTATCTATTCTCACTAGAACTAGAATATAAGTTCCATGACTATACAATCATCCCATCTGCTGGGGATTGGTCCCCAGGACCCCAACTGCCACCCTCCTCCCTCTACCCTCCACCATGGATATCAAAATCTTCAGATACTCAAGTCTCATATAAAATGGCATAGTATTTGCTTATAACATATCCCTTTTACTATGTTGTCTTTAGATTACTCATAACATGTAATACAATGTAAATGCTATGTAAATTGTTGTTATACTGTATTGTTTTAAAATTTATATTATTTTTTATTTATTTTTTTCTCAAATATTTTCCACTGAATACAGGGAGCCAACATATTCCATTGCATACCCACCATTGACACAAAATGGGGAGGGACTCAATACATATTCTTAGAATGAATGAATTGAATGAGCCCTTATACAGACATACCTTGATTTTGATTTCCACACTATCAAGCCATTTAAAGAACTTAAGGGGTGAAGAATATTTATATTAACCTTTTAGAAAGTTATAATAAACAGTTTTTGCAAATGTGAAATAGTATCCCCTACTCACTTTTTTTTAAATTTGATTTTAAGAGATTTTCATGGAGTTCTTGCAGACTGGAATGCTGTAAATTCCATTCAAATTCTAAGCTAGGTGTTTTATATCCCTATATGTGTAGAACATGACAAATATTCACCAAATATACTTTCATTAAAATCTGACATATGTAAACCCAATATAAAGAAAATCTGCTACTTAAAAGCAATAAAGTTTGAGTTTGCCACAATATTTTCTTTTCTTCCTTTCTTTTGTCTTTTTCTTTTTTCTTTTTTTTTAAGACATGGTCTTGCTCTGTTGTCCAGGCTGGAGTGTAGTGGTGCAGTCATACCTCAGTGCATTCTTGAACCCCTGGGCTCAAGCCATCCTCCTGCCTCTGCCTCCAGAGTAGCTGGGATTACAGGTGCATGGCACCATGCCAGGCAATATGCATTATTGTGTGACATATCTCAAACTTTAATATGTTCATTTTAAGTGCAATTTAAAGTCTAGTTATGAAGGTGTGTGTTCTCAAGGACTTTTAGGATGTTTCTATACTACAGCTGTTAAATATAATAATTCTCCAGAATTTAAAGTAGTTTGTTAGCGCTAAAGTAACTATATGCAGTGCAGAGGTACTTGGGCAAGGAAGGACCTAAAAAAAGTAGTCACCACCAGAAAGTTTATTAGTTCATCACCAGTAAAATTAGAAGGCCAGTGGCCAGGAAGAAGCCAATGGTTGAAACCATCCTAAAAGGACTGTGTTGCTTGGGAAACCAAAGAATGAGAAGTTGGTAAACATTTGCTCTAATGCCTATGGCCACATCACTCAAGTTTTCTTGCCCTCCAAATCTAGTAAAGAAAGAGAAGAAGAGGGCCCAGGGGGCGGGGAGGGAGGATAGAAGAGAGAGAAGGGGAGAGAGGAAGAGGGAGAGGGAGAGGGAGAGGGAGAGAGGGAGAGGGAGAGAGAGAGGGAGAGGGAGAGGGGGAGGGAGGGGGAAGAGAGAGAGAGGAGAGAGAGAGAGAGAGAACGCGCGAGATGGGCGGGGATCTGCCCACGGGGGAATTGTGCGCCAAGCCCCGCCCCTGTTTCCTAGGTAACCGGGTAAACAGACTCCATCTCCTTTTCTTCCGTGAGCTCTGCGAAGTGTTAAGAGGCAGGCAGGAAGCAGTGGGCAAGGAGTCCTAGTGGGGATGTGTTCTTTCGTGAGAGTGGGGTTCCCCAAAGTGCTGGTGCCCCCCAGAGGATTGGAAACTTCCCTCCAGCCAGGTACAGCTTTTCCCTTAGAGAAGACTGCCCTTGGAGGACTGAAGGTGTCTGGGGGAAAATCTCCCCTGAGCATGGAGGTGGCACTCACCCAGGAACGAAAGGATGATTTAGGAGACAGGAGGGTCTTCATGGGAACACGATCTCCAATAGAGTTGGGGCTCCGAGTAGGATTAGGAAAAGAAGATTCCCCATGGGAGGAGAGGCCTGTGGTTAGTAATAAATATGAGAAAACGAGGGCATCACCAGAAACAAAATCTCCATTGAGAAAGGAACTTGAAATGCGATTAGAAAGGCAGAACATTTCTAGGACCCGCACAGAGAGGGGTAATTTCGGAGTCAACACGGTCTCAGCCTTACAAGGAACAAAACCTTCTCTGGATATATTGCCGGGAAGAATGGGGTTAGGAAATGAGTGTCTTCTGGCAGGGTGTAACCATGGCAGGATAATACAGCCTCCCTTGGGTATGGTGTGTGGAAGTCCACAGGATGTAGGGAGCCAGAGAGGTCCTGTGGCTAGTGGCCCTGAAGGGATAGAGGCATTAGTGGAAAGGCAGCATGCTTTGGATATGGAACCAAGACAAGAACTAGAAAAAAAGTCTACCTATGTTGTGATGAAACCAAGCACAGAGATTAAGCCTCCTGGGGAGGTGGACACTGGGCTACCCCAAACAGAGGAGCCAGATGAAGCTAAGAATAGAGAGCCCCAGATGGGCTTGGTAATAGAACCTCTCCAGTGCCAGTTTGGCGAACATCCTGAAGAGAAAAAGGAAGGTGGAAACATTGAACCAGGAGTGGAACCTCCAGATCGCGTCAGACCCATATACTCTGGGAAATTTTTTGATCGGACACCCTTCTGGCCAAGTGTAAGTTTTTTTTTCCTAGTACTTTCCTAGGAACTGAACTATGTATAGTCATGTCTTTATTGAAATGATAAAGTGATGAGACTTTTTTGGGTTTGTTGGAGACCAATCACAAAAATTTCATTGGGAATCTGATATCCCTTCTCCTCTGGACACTTCCCAGATGTTCCTTTCATTTCTGATTCTTTGCATCCCTTCCTAGACGTCAGCTTTGTTTTCTGTGCACACCAGTGATTCCTCTTGGTTTTTCTCTCTTCTCTTTTAACCTTCATTTTGTTCCCCAGTCTTTATTTTCTCAACCCTATCACATGTTTACATACATGTTGTGTCCTAATATTCATGCTATGAATGGAAAAAGAAAAGCGTGTCTTTTCCCATGCATTATTTATTCCGTGAATTATTCATTCTTTCAGCAAAGTCTTGTGGTGGCTGTTATGCTGAATATAGGGCAATATAAAATAAAAAGTACATGGCCCCAGGCCGGGCGCAGTGGCTCACGCCTGTAATCCTAGCACTCTGGGAGGCCGAGGCGGGCGGATTGTTTGAGCTCAGGAGTTCAAAACCAGCCTGAGCAAAAGCGAGACCCCATCTCTACTAAAAATAGAAAGAAATTAATCAGACAACTAAAAATATATAGAAAAAATTAGCCGGGCATGGTGGTGCATACCTGTAGTCCCAGCTACTTGGGAGGCTGAGGCAGAAGAATCGCCTGAGCCCAGGAGTGTGAGGTTGCTGTGAGCTAGGCTGACGCCACGGCACTCACTCTAGCCCGGGCAACAAAAGCATGACACTCTGTCTCAAAAAAAAAAAAAAAAAAAGTACATGACCCCTACTAAAGGAATATTATATAGATATCTAAATGAATAGAAAACAAATGTGATTCTTCCTTCGTAGAAGTATACTCTAAATACAGAGCTCAGTGGAAAGATTGTACAACTCTGTTTGGAGGAGATGGGAAAGGCTTAACAGAGGACGTAATATTTGAGCTAACATTGGGAAGTGTCAGTATCTGTCAGATGGAAGAATGAGGTTAGAGCATTTAGGGCAAAGAACGGCACAGAGTATGACCAAAGCTTCTTATGTTTGGAAGTTGTAAGCAATTCTGTTTAGCCAGTAGAGTGTTGAGAGATGAAGATGAAGATGAAGAAAAAATATGTAGGAGAAATCCAAAGGTCCAAAATACAGGGGTAAAACATGTGGATTCAGGATCAATGGGGGATCTTAATAAGGGTATAAATAAATAAAATTTGCTTTTTGGAAAGGTAATTCTGATATCGGTAGTAATGATGGACTGGAAGGGGGAGATATTGAATGACATGTAGGAACTTGGAATGGATAACTTAGGAGTTTCTACGTTGATAATGATCCCTTTGGGTTTGGTGGCTAAAGAATATCCAGTGTTGGCTACCTCAAGTTTGAGATATCAGGTGAAGAAGCCAGGGAGACAACTGGTAATGTGAGACAGTTGAAGCCGTGAAAATCTAGGCAGGAGCCTTGGGAAACACTAACATTTATGAGATGGTCAGTGAAAAAGACATCAATAAGGTGAGTTCTTGAGGTCAAGGACTGTATCTCGCTTATTGTTTACCTTCATGGCATATCACAGTACCTTGCATATGGTGGTCATATGCCACAGTAAATATATGTTTGATAAATAGAAGGAAGGCTGGATGCTTAAATGGGGGAAAGAACAGTCAGAGAAGAAAGAGGTATCCTGAGAGGGTGGTATTGAAAAACATAAAGGAAGCATCCTTAAGACATTCTGGGAATAAAAGATTCCACACATTTAGATTTGAGAATAAAATTCAGCTGAAGAGGTCACAGGGCTTCTGCAGAATTTTGTCTGAGTTTGCAGACTCTTGTTCCCCTTAACACTCAGGGTGTTCTTTGTCTTTGTCCCACTTTGCTTTCTGGTTCCCTCATTAAATTTCTCCAGACACTGTCTTTATACTTGCCCACACCTGCTTGTCATTTCTGAATTGTTTCTGCGCTTTATGGCTTCTGATCTGACCTCACACACTTGTAGGCACCAGCTTTCAGTTTTCAATACAGGCCATTCTAAAACATCTTCCTCCCACTTCTCACACCTTCCTTTCTAAATGTGACTGGACAAAGAAGAGAATGTCAAGAAGAGAGTGATCAGCAGTGTTAAAGCATCTCTGTTAGGGAAAATAGAATAAAGATTAATTAGCTTTGGATATTAAGGAAATTACCAGCATCATTAGAATGACATAGTGGAAGGAGAATTCAGATTACAGTATACTGAAGAGCGCATGGGAGATTAGAATTGGAGAAAGCTACTGTAAAATTTTTTTTCCTCAAGAAGTATGATAGTGAAGAGAATGGAGTAAAGATTGCATTTAGGAATCTTATTACCTATTTAGTGAATCAGTAGAGGAGTTTGAGATAACACAAAGGAGAAAATGGCTGGAACCAGATCCTAGATAAGCAGGCAGGAATGGAATTAGGATCATAGGCAAGAGGAGGGATTAGACTTGATTAGAAGCAAGATTTCCTTTTAAAATAATTTTTTAATTGTTAAAATATTTAGTTTCATTATAAAACAAGAATAATAACATTATAGAAAATTTAGAAAATGGGATGAAAACACCCACAATCTTATCATCCTAATACAGTGCCTATTAGCACTTTACTGCTTTCATATTAATTAACACTCACTAACAACATTATTCATAGATCTTTGTAGGTATTAACTCATTTGTTCTCATAACAACTCTATGGGGCATCTACTATTATGAAATCCTGTTTTATAGATAAGGAAGCTGAAGCAAATTTGATGATTTGGCCAAAATCATACAGCTAGAAAGAAGCTAGAAGTCATATATTCCTACTTGAGAATCTGAGTTCTTGATTACACTATACTTCCTGTGACACTTTTCTCCAAATGCATTTTTACACAGTTTCTTATTATACTGAGCATAAAAATTATCTTAATTTTCACTTATTTTTTTGTTTCTTTTTTCATTTTTTTCCAAACTCGAATTCACTTATTTTTTAATAAGCATTTCACTGTTATTACAGATTTCATAAAGATCTTATAATGATAAAAATACTTCTTTAAACCAATATATGATTCTTAAGTTAACTCATTCCCTCTATTATTGGGAATTTAGATTTTTTCCGTAATTTTCTATAAAAAATAATTTGTCTAATTTTTATTCATATGTCTTTTTATATGTATTGGAATATTTCCTTAGGTTAGAGTTTAGCAGAAGCCAAAGGTATGGATCTCTTTCCAGTTCCCCTTGCCAAATCTCTTCCTAAAAGGTTGTACCAATAAATTTTTAAAAATCATAATCTTGGATCAGAACCTGGGCTGGAATGAATATAAAGAAAAAAATAAATGATAATGATTTGTTAGGCATTAATTCATATTTCTTTGATTTAAAATAAGATTGGAAATTGCTCCATATGTTTTTATTTATTTATTTATTTATTTTGTCCTTGTATCTGGTCACTTTGATGAATTTATTAGTCATAATTGCTTATTATTATTTCCTTTAGATTTTCTAGGTGGACAATCCTATTGACACTTTTGTCTTTCCTTCTTTAGTATAAGTACCTCTCATTTTTATTTCCTATCCCATTGCATTGGCTCTGATCAAAAATATAATATGGAAAATAAGGTCTCTTTTCTGATTTTAATGGATATGATTCTAATGTTTTACTAGTAAGTACAATTTTTGTGGAAGATTTCTCATATATCAGGTTAAGAACACTTCTTAGCATTCAGTAAGTTTATTAGAAAAAAAAGAACACTTCTATCCATTCTTAGTTTGCTAAGAATGTTTAAAATCAGTAATAAACTTGAATTATGAAAAAATTTCACTTTATTTGCTGAAATATGTTTTTTTCCCAACTAAAATGGTTAATTTTCTAAGGGTAAACCATCTTCATATTTTTGGGCTAAGCTCTACTTGGTTGTGATATTTTTTAGAATATATTCCTGGATTTGATTTGCCAGTATTTTACTAGGAATTTTTCATCTATGATTCTATGTAAGTTTAGATGGTAGTTTTTCTTATTTATTTATTTAAAAAATTTTCTTTCTATTTTGAAAAAGTAACTGCTTTTTTTTCTTTTTTTCAATGATCCACTATCATTTCCAAAGTAGTTTTTATGTTATCTTTCTCTGAGTTTGGTATTAGTTTTAGCATTAGCTAGTATATAAAAAAATTGAGAAGCCTTCCATCTTTTCAATTGTCTTTATGCTTTGTTTATATATTATGTGTATTAACTTCTTGTAGGCCTGGTAAAACTCACACAGCTGAAAGGGGAAGGCTAATTCATTCCCTCTATTGTTAACTCATCTCTGGCCAAGAGGTGAGATGGTAAAATATTTGATGTCCTCAAGTTCATCCAGTCTCAGAGTAGGAAGAAAGTGCATTTGGGTGAGGTTAAAACACAGTGTCAAGCTTGGCTGTGTTGAGAGTTTGTATGGAAATCCTATTGTGAATAGCCTTTAAAGATCAATCCCTGAGAACAATCACTTTGCATCAGGGTACCTTCAGGGAACTGGGAAAGCTCATCTCAACAAGAGGCCTTTCCATTGTTGGGGGAGGGAAAGTGGACACATCACAATGTAGGGACACTCATCCTGTGATTTGAAGTTGACACTCATCCTGTGATTTGAAGTTGCTGTCCAGAGTTGGCGTTGAGTTGCAAGTGAAGGTTTACTGTGATGGATTTATGAGACCCATTAGGCAAGTTCTTCTAATAAAACAATCATGGGTATGGAACCAGTGCAGCAAGAAAGAAGTTCCAAGAAATGGTGGCCTGAGGAGAGATTTTTGCGGTGTCCTTCAAAAACCAAAAAGATTCTGGTAAAAACAGGTTCTCTCTGTGTAGAAGCCTGGTAGCCCTTTGAAAGGGTACTTGGCTCTTGGAAACACTCTGTCAGAGATCAAAATCTCTATAATGGTCATTTCCCTAAGACTTCCTGAGACTGTCCTTTTATATCCATCAATGCACTGACTATGACA